CAAAGGAAAGACTTGGAGACGTTTGCTCATCTAAAGCAAGACCCACCTTTCAGTGTTGGAAAAAAAACATAGTCTGCAACTACACAACTGCTGAAATCAACCAAGTAAACAGACTGTTGTTCTGGGTCCAGAGACTTTCATATTAGTTTTCTCCGAGAGGAAGTGTCTATTATTGGGGAGTTATCCTGTTTACTTCACTTAATAACAAAAGTTTCTCTTACAGGCCTACCATCCCTATTCTTCACTTCCAGAGCCTTGCATTTAGCTTTAGATAGGAGGGAATTTTGAATAGATGATGTTTTGATAGTGATTCTTGCCCATTTATTTTTTCTAAATTAAATCAATGGGAAATAGCTACAAAGCACATTGTTTTGGCCGCCAGACCAAAACATAACTCCTAATTAACCCCTTCTCTCCTGAATATGGATTCATCTGTGCCGTATGCTCATTCTGTATTATATAGGAGTGTCAGCAGTGCAATTAAACACCAACTCTTCAGGGATGTACCCAGTGAGTTGGCCATTGGTGGAAGTGTGTGTTTTTGTCCAGGGTTTTGGGCAACACTGAATTGGTTCAACACTAGTTCTTTCCTGGCAACTCCTGTCATAATATCTAGTTTGTAGCTGTTAAAGTTGGACTAACAACATTAACTTTGATTTTTCTCTGCCTCTGTTAGTGTTGCTTCCAATGTGCATTCGTGGGTGGAATTTTGTATTGATTTGACAAGATTTGAAAAATTTGAAAGACAACTGTTGTTCTAGGCAGGTATCATTCCAAAACTTGTAGAGGAATAGAGACGTGACTCAGTTGGGGTCCAAGAGTACAGGGTGGGTATCTTAGGGCCCATGTGTGTTTGCTTTTCCCCTCTCTCATACATCATGCCTTGCTTGTTTTGCTGCACATAGGGCCCGCAAATTGAAACACATTGATATGTAATTTTTGCTGCTTCCCCCAGCAAGCGAGTAGGAGTAGCTGATGAAGACAAGTATTGCCAGTTTTATGTTGCTGCTGTTGAGATTTCATTGTCCATTTTCCCCTACCAAATCCTCTATCAAGCTACAGAATACTAGACCTATTTAAAAAAAAATCCTACAAAGCATATGTATAATCTCTCCTTTTACGTATATATGAGTTACATTAAAATTTATCCTTTTGATCTACATTATTCAATACCACACTTCACACACCCTCTTGCAAGTAGGTTGTGCCAACTGGCTCTAACTGTAGAAGAAGAGGGTCCATTGTGTTCTGTCTGGACCTGTAACAATCTTTTAAAAAACACATTAATTCAACAGACCTGTAAGTTACCCTAAGATCAGATAACTTAGCAACAACATAAATATTACAAATGAACCTCACCCTGGAATTCCCACTCGAGTGTCTCTGGCTAGCCATACCAAATCACCTTACAGGTGAGAGAAGAGAAAATGGGATTTGTAGTGCACCCTGGAAGCTAACGAAAGTGTCTCATAGGATAAGGTGAGCAAATGAGTTCCAAACGTTAGGGTGGGGGGAGCTAGCTAACAGACAGTGTCCTGTCTCTCTTATACCACTATGCCTCCACTGACAGCAAGTGTGGTAGCATTTCAGAGGGACGCAGTAGGTCCCACTAGCACACACTTAACCTCTGAAAGGAAAAAAAACAGTAGGTTATAGCTGTGCAATATTTATTGTTGGTGTTAAAATAACCCACAGTTGACTGTCAGTTTCCAGACTTTTTGCAGGGCTGATTATTGGAAAGTTAAACATTATCCTCCTCTTTGTAAACTGAAGAAATCTGAGATATGCTAGAAGACATTTGAGCCAATAAATTGGAACTCCAATGTCATTTTCACTTTCCATAATTTAACCACACTTTTTTTAAGGAACGGTCTTATGCTGTATTTATCCTGCTGGCTTGAGAGAACAAGGAGAATAGTGCAGATGGGAATTACTAAATTATTTGAAACAAACATTAGATATGAAAGGACATGCTTACCATGCTGTTCCAGGATGGCAGGGAGGTACAAAGGGGTCAGATCTAAGTCGTCACAAATCTCTAGTTCTGCTGTCCTTACCTCATTCTTCTATTTAACATTTTCTCTTTTGAACATATTTAAGGGGGCTTTTCAAAACTCTCACAGCAGAAGGCATTGTGCACACACAAGGTTTTCTCTATGGCTGTGCTTAGCATTGATTTATATTTTAATTGCCTAGTTAAGAATACTAAATTATGGAATAAGGAAAATTTTAAATACAGCATTAAGCTTCAGTGTAGGTAATGAGTGGTGGGAGATTTTAAGAGAGTGGGGTGAAAAGGAGAGAGAGGCAACTATTTAAGGATTCAGACTCCTTGAAATGTAATCTTGGGAAGATTTTTAAAACCAGCCTGAAATGATGGTGAAAGGTTAAATCTTGTCTAGTCTGCTGTTTGTTGGGAGCACTCCTTTGATGTAGACTTATGGGTGAGTGGGGAAAACTGTTTTGATTCCTGGAGCCTGCTGCAATGCAAAGCAAACCTCCATTGACTGGACTAGATGGCTCACTGCAGCCATTCCCAAACTGTGTTTTCCCCCAAGCAAGCACTTTCTGGTGGTCCATGACTGCTCCTGTGTTGCTTGTTTCCAGCTACTGAATCACATTAAAGGAAGCTAAAAATACATTAAATACTTGAGAAATTGACGTAATCCATGGTGGTGGTATTAGATCACTGGTGGAGCAGGAGATGGTCCATCAGTGGCAAGGATAGGTATCCACAAGACACTATTAGAATATGATCCACTTCATGAAAATGTTTGAGAACACCTGACTCAGGGGATTGCAATAGGGTATGGAGCCTGTCACTTATTATGGATTGTCGGTTCAAATTCATCTAAGGTGAACAGCAACAGAGGGTTTTTTTTCCATGGGATGGTAGCTCACTGGTCAATGTAAAATAAGTTCAGTGGGGATTTTGGAGAGTCTCAGTCCAGCTAACAGCTGTGTTACTACAGAGGTAGTTCACATAGCAGAATCCTCCAGCACCAGTGACCACTTGATTTGCAGCCTCAGCTAAAAGGACAGACTGGAACTACACTCCTTCATCCAGTTCCCCAGAGATAGTCCCTTCAGGTCAGGGCTGAGATATCTTGTATTGGAGGGATGATGAGGGAAAACTTGAATTGCTGCTTGTACTTGTTGGCTTGTAGTAGAGGACTTCCTCATCCAGGGCACCTTTCATGAGCAATACGTTCTCAGAGCAAAAGAACCCACAACATACTGGTGTTTAAATAATGGTGACCTATTCGAAACAAATTTTAAAATGGGCTTTGTATAAGAGACTTGTAGTAGTTGCACTATGCTATCTCAGCTGTTTGGAACAGTAGACATGTATTGTACAGAGTTGCAATATTTTTGGGACAATCAGTATTCAGTGGTGTTTGTATCTGTGGTTGAAAACTTCAAAAACTTTAGTTTTTGTTTTTAAATCTGAAGCATTTTGATTACTGTGGGAAAACGAACATTTTACATTTTTTCAATTTGGGAAAAGTTTTGAATGTTAAGTGTGGTAATGCCTAAATGGGTGATGTCTCGAATGTTTCTTAATTCTAAATGAGAACTTTAAATAAATGTTTCTACTTAAGTTTTGGGCTAGAAGGGATTGAAACAGACATGTTTGCCCCATGTAAGCAATGGTAATTTGTTATCACAGATGCATGTGATGTAACTCTCAAAGATTAGTTCTATCCCCTTCAAAGCATGATTATTTCAGGTCCTCCTTATACTTTAAATAGATACGCTCTTCATGTGATTTCCATCTCTTTGTGTCAACAGCCAGGCTGAAGTTGAAGTAAACATGGCATCAGATTAGTAAAATGGACTCCAAAAAAAACCTGCTGTCCATTAGCGGGATAAATGCATCTGAGAAAGCCTTTGCAGTTTAAATTTGAGACTTTTTTTTTGCCCATGCAGTGCAAGTATCAATTTCTAAATGCCAAATTCCTTAGGTTTCTGCAGCTTAGTTTACTAAAACCAGATTGCTTACAGGCAAAGTTGTTTAGTTGAAATAGGTATATTTTAAACTTGGCCTCAATAAGCACCATTCTGAGTACTTCTGTATAGTAATGCAATAATCAATCTAGGTTGGTAGAGGAAACGAAGGGGTTTATGTATTATCACGTCTTAAATTTAATATTTAGATTCTTTAGTCTGTTACAGGGACACTAATTTTTGGTAGGACCTGAAATTTGTTGTAGTAGTAAAACTTTTCATCTTCTGCAGAGTGTTGTTGCCTGTAGGTGGTGTATCTTTGGGAGGTTTTTCTTCCGAAACTTCCTGTTTACACCATTTTTTTTCAGTTATGTATCTCAGGAAGCGAGATACGGCTGCCACAGAATTTTTGCATAGGATGTTACTAAGAGGCTTGTTTAGTTACATGTCTGTTTCCCCCTACTCCCTTCCCACAAAACGGCACTGGGACAAAGTTTTACTGTAGGGTGAAAAAGAAGACTCGAAAGAAGTGTAAAGCTAGAAAGGCTAAGAGAAGTGCACTTTTATTTCTACAAACCTCATTATTTGCTTTTGTTTGTCTTCTGCAGTTGTCACACTAGAAATATCTCGCATTGACTATTTTGATTAGGCAAGATGGCTGCAATTTTAACTGTGGTGCCTTCTAAGAGCTGCGGAAAGGAAGTACTAAGGAAATGACACTTGCAGTACCAGAGTTAAGCAGAATTGTTCATGTATCTGAAACCCATTTATTAGTATAATCCTCACTGTAGAAGGTGTGTGAGTAGACATGGATGAAGAGGTCTCTCTTTTCTGAAAAGACTACACTAAGCCAAGGCTAGTTTTACATGAGTGTGATTTTGTCAGTGATAAGATTGCTTTGTATATAAAGCTCAGTAGGGCTACAGACCAGAGAGAGCAGCTCTCAGGAAGTGGTGCTTGGAGTGCTTGCTGTTTGATTTACAATGGCTAAATGCATGTGTAAACACTGAAGAAATATTATTGTTTACTTTTTTTAAAAATCTCTGTTACAGTTTCATCATGACAACAGAGAAGAGTCTAGTGGCTGAGGCCGAGAATCCTAAGCAACAGCAGCAGCAAAAAGAGGAGGAGGGAGCTGCTGACATACAGAAGCAAGAGGCGTCTCTGGAGGAGGCTTCCCAACAGGCATCGGAGGGGCATAATCAAACGGGACAGAAACAGAAGGCATCCAACGGCGATACCCCCACACACGAAGACCAGAGCAAGAACAAAGAGCGCTGCACTTCAGAGAGTCGGGGGCTGTCACGCCTGTTTTCATCATTTCTCAAAAGGCCCAAGTCTCAAGTTTCTGAAGAGAGCAAAGAAGGGGAGACTCCACAAGAGAAAGGTGAAGGAGGTCAGAAAGAGACAGATCTAGGAGCCAGTCCTGATGAAGAAATCCTACTGAAGGCCCCAATAGCAGCTCCTGAACCTGAACTCAGGACTGACCCATCTTTAGATCTTCATTCACTAAGCAGCGCAGAAACACAGGTAAACAAACAAAGTGGATTTGGATTCTCTTTGGCTTCCTAATCAGCTGGCTCTTGTAGTCAGGATTATTTGTCAGGTTAAGTAAGGAGTAGAGGTTTGTAATCCTCCTATGTTAGATTTGATCAATGAGAACCCATAAGATTCTGAAAAAACCCTTTTTGGAACTTCTAGTATTTGACAAAGCAGCAAAGAATCCTGTGGCACCTTATAGACTAACAGACATATAGGAGCATGAGCTTTCGTGGGTGAATACCCACTTCTTCGGATGCAAAGGTGCATCCAAAGAAGTGGGTATTCACCCACGAAAGCTCATGCTCCTCTACGTCTGTTAGTCTATAAGGTGCCACAGGACTGTTTGCTGCTTTTACAGATCCAGACTAACATGGCTACCCCTTTGATAGTATTTGACAGACATTATGCTACATCTGACACTTCCTGCTCTTACGTTTTTGTATTCTGCAGTGTGATCTGCTGTCTAATACTTATTCCTACTGTTTTAATCATAATAAGTTTAATCTTCAAAGCATTATATAAACACTAACAAAAACTCCTAAAACACTTAAAAAAAAAATTCCTCTAAGGCAAGGAAATTTGTCAGTCGGGATTAGAACTCAGATTACACTCTATGAAAGTTACTTTTAATGCTCATTTTTAAATATTCTGATATGTACACTATGGGTAGAAGAAAAGTCAATAGAAAACACATCATGGAAATTACAGCTGTGTTCAGCAGAAAACAAACAGCAAAACAGACTTAAGTGCAAGCAACACAAGTGACAGTTCAGAACCTCCTGGACCTCAGTTCAGTTTACATCTTTCTCCCACCAGTGTGTTAGGCCCTGTTTTTTCTGTGGCCCCACACGTACTTATATTAATCACTTTGAGCATATATACTGGGGATTTAAAGAGAGCCTAAGGACCTTGTGTCCAACTACTAGTCATTTTGTGGTTCCCTTAGGCGCCTTAAAAATCCTAGCCTTAAATGCATAGACCTCGGAGCTTTAAAGGTAGGTATTATCCCCGTTTTACTGATGGGAAACTGAGGCACAGAATGTTACTAGCCAAATGTTCAAAAGTGGCCTGTGGTTTTAGGTACATCACCTCTTGGCTACTGGACATGAAATACAATGGGCTTCTTTCTTTTTCTTTCCTACCAGAAGTGCGAAGTATCTGCAACTCGAGTTCAGCTGGCATTGTGGTTGCTCAGCATTTGAAAGAGTCAGGTCCAGGTTGTTTTGAGTTGGATACCTAAAGTTGATGGCTGTTTCTGAATAATTTAGCCTGGGTATCTCACCCAAGCAAGTGTATATAGAGCCGGGAATAGAACCCAGGTCCCTTAGTTCCCAGCCCAGTCTGCTGGAGGCAGTGATATCTAGTGGACAGACTAGTGCTGCTTGTCAGTGGTGTAAATAGGAAGCTAACAGCTACAGTAACTCCTCGCTTAATGTCGTCCCAGTTAACGTTGTTACGTTGCTGATCAATTAGAGAACATGCTCGTTTAAAGTTGTGCAATGTTCCCTTTAAATGTTGTTTGGCAGCTGCCTGCTTTGTCCACTGCTTGCAGGAAGAGCAGCCTGTTGGAACTATCTGGTGGGGGCTTGGAACCAGGGTGGACCGGCAGCCCCCCTATCAGCTCCCCGAAGTTCCCTGTGCAGCAGGCGCCCAGCAGGCTATCAATTGCTGGGCAGTTCAGCTGTCTCTCCCTCTGCCATGTGCTGCTCCTGCCCTTTGCTTTGGAGCTGCTCCCAGGAGCCTCCTGCTTGCTGTGCAGAGGGGGGCGGGAGAGGGGTGCTAATGTCAGGGTGTCCCCCTCCCCCTGCTCTGGTCCCCCCGATCCTGTACCTCACCTCCACAGAGTGAGTGTGTGTGGGGGACACACGACAGGGCTCAGGATGGAGGAAGCTTGCTGGCAGCTGCTGCTGTCTCAACTTGCTGATCTAGTTAAAAAGGCAGTGTACTTAGAGTGGGGTCAGTGTACTTAAAGGGGCCGTGTGTTTCTCACATACACAGGGTGTGTGTGTGTGTATCTCTCTCACACACTCACACGCGCGCGCACATACACGGTGTGTGTCTCTGTCGCTGTCTGCCATGCTGTGTCTCCTCCCTCCATTTGTGCTGCCTTGTAGAGTGTGAGGG